CAGGAAAAGTGGTAAGAATAAATTTATTACGAATCTCCAGTCTACGTGTCCCCAATCACCCCAAAATGAGCTTCACTGGATGAAATTCTGGGGTTGATTGTTGGCGGCTATCGTATTGCGTGCGTCTAGCGGCTTCGAGACCAAGTCACTTGATCATGGAGTAACCGTTCCACGACACATACCAACCCCCGCGAACGTCGCGTGAAATTGGGTGATGAGGCGATGATGCACCGTTTTATTCCTAGATTTGGTGCGCTGTAGTACCAGTTCACTACGTAAGATAGCATGGTTGAGGTGCGCGCGTTAGGAGTGCCATGCGCGGAGTGATACAATATGGGAAGGGCATTGCAGTGAGGTGGTCGATTAGGAATTTCCGCAGCTGTAAGTCATCTTTCGATGACGTCGTTGTACTTCATGTATTGATACAAAGCGACACGCTTTCTGTAAAAGGACTATATCATACTGGAACCGAGAATCGAACTCGGGACCTACTGCGTGTTAGGCAGTCGTCATAACCAACTAGACCATTCCAGCGAGACGATGCTGCAGCAAACATTTGTGTCTCAACGGCTCCGTTCCATTGTATGTAAATTGATTTAATCAATTTGATTATAACAGTGGGAAGTGACAATCAGACAGATGGCCCCCTCCCCCTGGACAAAGTTCACTTCCAAGGATTTGGCACTTTCCCACCGTCACTGGCGAATACGAAGCTTCCCGGGTCAGACATTGTCCAAGGGATACGGAGGGACCTAGAATAAATCTGGATCATCCGATAGTCGATCCCGGGTTACGACGATGCCAACGTCGTATTCTCCAACTTGATCAATGGAGTCTGAAGTCAATTGATAGAAAATCGCTCATGTTAGCTGTATAATGGACACACTTAGACGCACTGTGTCGTAAAGCGAGGGTCGAACCTGGATCACGCGAGTGCTATCCCGAAACCTAACCAACTGGACTGCATCACGACAATACACAGTGTTTTATGGCGTGCTACAGGCGCAACTTCGTTTACTTTCGAGCCTTTGTGTGTCTTGGTTCACTCGTGATTCCGAGACTGCTAATCGTCACTACGAATCACCAAAGTATCATGAGTCATGACCTCTCACATATCACTCTGCTGTCACCCTCAATCGCAAGTTCCCCCACTGTAACGAGAAGAATGGCACATGAGAAGCATTTACAAGCACTCTTTGAATGGAATATGGCGGAACGCGGCCAGTTATAGGTTAGATAGTGGTGACACAAACTATTTAGCAGGAAAAGTGGTAAGAATAAATTTATTACGAATCTCCAGTCTACGTGTCCCCAATCACCCCAAAATGAGCTTCACTGGATGAAATTCTGGGGTTGATTGTTGGCGGCTATCGTATTGCGTGCGTCTAGCGGCTTCGAGACCAAGTCACTTGATCATGGAGTAACCGTTCCACGACACATACCAACCCCCGCGAACGTCGCGTGAAATTGGGTGATGAGGCGATGATGCACCGTTTTATTCCTAGATTTGGTGCGCTGTAGTACCAGTTCACTACGTAAGATAGCATGGTTGAGGTGCGCGCGTTAGGAGTGCCATGCGCGGAGTGATACAATATGGGAAGGGCATTGCAGTGAGGTGGTCGATTAGGAATTTCCGCAGCTGTAAGTCATCTTTCGATGACGTCGTTGTACTTCATGTATTGATACAAAGCGACACGCTTTCTGTAAAAGGACTATATCATACTGGAACCGAGAATCGAACTCGGGACCTACTGCGTGTTAGGCAGTCGTCATAACCAACTAGACCATTCCAGCGAGACGATGCTGCAGCAAACATTTGTGTCTCAACGGCTCCGTTCCATTGTATGTAAATTGATTTAATCAATTTGATTATAACAGTGGGAAGTGACAATCAGACAGATGGCCCCCTCCCCTTGGAGGGGAGCCAGAGTGGCTCGAACGAGCATGAGCAAGAGTGTCGGCCCGCCACTATCGGGAAGAGAGTCATCAGTCTGGAAGAGTTTGATGTCCCGACTATGAGTGGAAACTTCGCGTCCAGTGACGTCACCCTTGGTTCTGAACACGTTGGGACTCAATTGGCGAATGACGATAGCGGTATACCAGCGAAAGCCAAGTTGGGGGACTTGAGTAGGGCAACGTACTAATACTCGGGTCTCAACAAGAATCGTCTTATCCAATGGAGGATCGATAACAAAGGGCTCAACGTAGGACAGTCCACGACGACACTGGCGAGGTACATGCATACCCATAGAAGTAGGGAAGGTGTAGGCCATAGAGGGGGGCCTGACACCTCGGCGTTTAGTAACATTTCATGAGTAGACCACATGCCGAATAAGGTCACAGAAAGTAGTGTAGGATATGTCTTCGCCGGTGTGATGGGTACGGAGGTATTCATTGAGATAAAGGCGTACTCGCTCAACGCGTCCATTTGATGGTGAAGAACCACGTGGGGTGGACAAACGAATTGCGTCCCACGATCGAACCAAATTGGCCATGGCAAGACTAGAGTATTGGGTGCCATTGTTGATGTGGAGCATAAGGGGCCGGACCCGGAAGATGTGGCCGATGGATGTGAGTAGTGTACAAACGTCCTGGGAAGTGGGTGTTAGGAGATTGAGGGAACTCAACAAGATAACTTGAGCCAAGATGGCTACAGATACCTCTCCTCTAGTGCGCAAAGACTGCTGAAGTACTCAAAGCAACCACACTGGAAGATTAGCTATGAGACTAAATGCGCACGCCCAAAAGTGCTCGCGTACAGAGCAACACATCTGAGCAACTTATAACAATATGCTCCCCCAGGTGGCTTGCTCACAAGGAAGCCACCTTCTCTATATCCCTCTGAGACAGACAGTTATGAGAACCATCTAAGTATAGAGTAACAGTATCTCTCGGAGATACTGTGAAAGTGAGCGGTTTACATTGTGGATCCAAAATTGCTCCAATATGATGAGAACCCTCTGGAGAGATCCATAATGGAAGCAATATACGCTCATCCTCATCCAATCTATACTCTTGTACCAATAAGTAATCATCATTGGTCCAAGACAGCTTTCGACCATATCGAACCATACCGTCAGCGTCCTTCCAAGCGATGAAATATGATCTAGTAGGATTACGGAGTACTCTACGCTTGGAAGGTTCGGCAAACTCAGCGGGTTCGGATGTGGAAGGTAACCTCTTCCTCCCGCGATCCGGAATCTTTCCCGCACTCGGCTGCTGGAGAACAGCAGGTACCCTAGGGGTAGTAGGCTTCGCAATCACTCGGGGACCTTGAGTTTTAGATAAGCCACCGTCATCATCTTTAATATGGTCCTTGTGGTAAACTTGAACCGAACCATCAGAGAACTTAACCTCAACGCACTCCTTTCCTAGATGTCGAGTTACTACCCCAGGAATCCACATTGCATCAAGCTTGTGGGAAATAGGTTGATAGACCAACACTTGTCGACCGATCTCGTAAACAGGACGAACGACTGGACCTACTGTAGCAGATCTACCCTTCCTCCATTCATCTTGCCAATTCTTAGTCATCCTCTGCCGGCTCTTCTCTAACTTCTTCACAGCATTAAGAACCACCCCACAGCGAGTTTCATTGGGGTAGGACATATATTCTTTAATCGAATCAATCGTAAGAGCCTGTTGAGGTAGAGATGACAGCAACATATTCTCAAATGGTAACACCGCATCGAATCCAAAAACGATGTGGTGAGGAGTGAGTCCAGTGGCCTCGTCGACCGTATTGTTCATAGAAGCCTGAATGAGTCTCAGGAGTTCAGGCCATGAACTCGACTTTCGCCCTTGGAGGCAACGACGCAGACATCTGACTAAGTGCAAATGAGCTACTTCGTAGAAGCCTCCTGAAGAAGGATGGCGAACTGGCAAGGTGAGGTGCGTACAGGCGTAGTAGGCACAAAGGGCATCAAAAGCATAGGAAATAAGATTACTTCCTAAATCAGTGATGAGTGTAGCCGGTGCTCTGTAGACCAGAAATACTTCACGTTCTAATACTTTACAAATAGATGAAGTCGAGATATCACTGAGCGGAAATAGAAGACAATAACGACTCAACAAATCCGTAACAGTGAGTATCCAACGAGCACCACTACTACCACCAGCTTGTATAGCACCCGGCACCAAAGGTCCTACCAGATCGCATCCAATCACCTCAAATGGCGACGAAGGACATTTCAGGTGACTCTCATGTCGTAGTTTTTTCAGAGGAGCGGTCACTAGGCAAGCAGCGCAAGAGCGAACAACGCCCTTGACGGACTTACGTAGTGCCGGTGCCCAAAAGACTTTTCGAAGATGACGGTAAGTAGCATCAACCCCGACATGACCGCGTACATGATGATAGTAGTTAGTAAGGTCTCCAAGTAGGGATGATGCTGTTGGGCGTGGTAGAACGATCTTAAGAGACTCATCTTCGTCCCAAGACTCTACCTTGCAAAGGACACCGTTAAGAAGAATACAGTGTCGTATGTAATGATAGAGAGAAGGGGGTAAATTGGCCTTGAAGGAATTAGGATCCATAGATGATTCTAAGACCTTCTTGGCTTCTCGAGCTTGTGGGTCGCAATCCTGCTGTTTAATCAAGAACCTTCGAACAACCTCCGATAGATCTGTCGGACCACGACCTCGCCAAGCTTGAAATGACTCGTAAAGAGTCAAGAACTTTTGTAACAATGGAATACTTTCAATAGTCGGAATCAACAAAGAGTATGGATAATGAAAGTCAATGATATCAGACACCATGCTTGGGATCTCATATGAAGTGAATTCATCAACTTCACAATCAATGTTGGTGAGAATATTCGATGGTGGGAGATCCTCTGATATGCGAGATAGAATATCTACTCTATTAATGTAAAAAGAATTATGAGAATGATGGGAAAATGTTATACCCACTCCCAATAATCTAAACTCCTCAACTGCTTCATCAATCGATGATCTTAATCTTGCTATCGATAGCTGCTCTATACCATGGATCCTATGAGGTGATGATCGCATACGGCGAATAGAGACCAAACTATCACTGCAAATTTCGATAGATTTGAGAGAGTCCCACCATTCGCTCTGCATCTGATCAATCACTGCGATGAAAGCCATCAATATACCATAGAGCTCGCGCCGGTTTGCATGCCAAGTACAACCGTAGGGAAAGAGCTTGCTCTCAGCGTAGACAGAGACCCAACCAGTGGGATGGGATTCAACTAAGCTGGCTAGTTGAGCAGCTGGAACCCAAATCTCTATTCCATAACCAGAGTTGGAAGCGTCGACAGCAATTCTCAGGTTTTTAGCACCTTTTATAATCGGTACAGCTCCATTGAGTTGCTGCCATATCATTTCAGCTGCTTGTAAATGTTTTCGACAGCTCTGCTCGGCTTTAGAGTCGATTTCGTCATCCCAATTGCCTGTACACCGACCAGCAATCTGCCTCGCTACATCGCAATGAGCTCTACACTGTGCTCCCCAGCTGATCAGGTGATATCGAGATATCGACCTGCAA